GCCTTTTTTCCCCTCCAGGGGTGACCACAATCCTGGATTTTATATTTAACGTTTCCTTGCTTTTCCTTATGGCTTTACCAACATATATTTATGTCTCTAAACACTTTGTTTCTCCCTCCGTGTTTGCGACTTTGGCACTCAGTGTTGCTTGGGAAAAGCACCCACTTGAGTACAGCTTTGGCTTATTGAGGTTGGCTTCTCCGCGGGGCCCTGGCACAGGGATACGCCACATTCTACCACTCCTGTGGATGACGTTTCAGTGGTTTCTAGTTGTTTCTAGTCCATGTCACGGTGACCATTCTTGTTCCTCTCTGCTGATGAACACAGAGAAGAACCTCCCTGTGATCCACACCTGGGAGCAAAATTACTGGGCCATGAGGTAATCATCGCATCTTCAGCTTTATGAGATAATATCAGAGTGTTTGCTAACAAGATTCCTCCTCTTTCCACTCTGCTAGTGGTAGGTGACAATTCCCGTTGGTCCACACCCTTACGGGGTGAGGTGACAGGATCAGATTTAAAACATCTTCCTTGTCTGCTGGTTGAATGTGCTATCTCACTGTTGCTTTCATTTGTATTTTTTTGTTTTATTATCTGAAGTGTGATAGGAGAGGCAGCTGCTTATAGAGCTGCAGTCTTTATCGCCAAAGGTAGCAGGATTGTGGGAAATTTCCCCAACCTTGTTGAGGGTGGGGAAGGATGGCAGGCAGGAGAGGAAGGAGAGAGCTTCAGAATCATGTGGCTTCTCTCAAAATTCCAGCCCAGCATTCCTGACCAAGGCAAGCTACCCTGTCCTTCCCAAGGTGTCACCCACCAGCCTCCCAGGCCTCTCCGAGCCCACGCCTTTCACTGAGTGAGGTCATTGGAATGCCTGGAACCCAAGGGACAGCCACATGGATGGGTTTGTGAGGCAAGCGCACAGCCCTCCATAAGAAATGACTGCACCTGGTCTGTCTGGAAGGAAGAACATTCCAAACAGTCCAACCCAACTTCACATTTTCCATGTGAACCAAAGTGGGAGGAAAACTTCAGCCAGAGGTGGAGCATGGAGTGAGAGGGTCAGAGAGGGCATCATTTTCACCTATCCCTGTGAGGCCCCAAACCAGTTTTACTCCTGGAAGCACATGTGCCTTAAGGCTTTTCTTCTAGGCAGTATGGAGAAGAATGGAAATCTCAAGAATGACTCCAGACCCAGTTTTTCCACTTCCAGCTGGGTGACCTTGGGCAGATGACATCACCTCTCTGCTCACTATAAGGTGGGGCCATAATGCCCATGTCACAGTGGGTGACTCTTGGCCCCAGGGCTAGCTCAGTGCCTGCAACATAGCAGGAGCTTTATAAAAGACATAATAATAATAATAATAATAATAATAATATCTTTTCAACTTTGGGAATGTTCTTGAGCAGGCTAAGATTAAGATTGGTTTTCTTGGGGTGCATGGGTGGCTCAGTCACTTAGGTGTCTGACTCTTGATCTCAACTCAGGTCTCAGTCTCAGGGTTATGAGCTCAAGACCTGCATTGGGCTCCATGCTGGGGTCAAGTCTACATTAAAAAAAAAAAAAAAAAAAAACCAACAGATTTGTTTTCTTTTTTATTTTTTTTATTTTTAAAGATTTTATTTATTTATTTGATGGGGAGATCACAAGTAGGCAGAGAGGCAGGCAGAGAGAGAGGGGGAAGCAGGCTCCCTGCTGAGCAGAGAGCCCAATGTGGGGCTGGATCCCAGGACCCTGAGATCATGACCTGAGCTGAAGGCAGAGGCTTAACCCACTGAGCCACCCAGGTGCCCCAGATTTGTTTTCTTAAATTGAGAATGTTTCCCCTCCTCTAGGAAGATATATGTTTTTAAAGATTTTATTTATTTATTTGAAAGAGAGGGAGACAGAGAAATAGCATGAGCAGGAGGAAGGAAAGAGGAAGAGGCAGGCTCCCCTCTGAGCAGGGAGCCGAGGTGGAGCTCTATCCCAAGACTCTTGGATCATGACCTGAGCTGAAGGCAGATGCCTAACTGACTGAGCCACCCAGGTGCCCTGGGAAGATACATTTTTTTTAAGCTGACGTTCCCACAGTTTGAGGACTGGAAGAGAAACTATTGCATTGCTGTAGTTTAGTTTCTTAATGGTTTAAAAATCAGTCAATCTGGGGCGCCTGGGTGGCTCAGTGGGTTGAGCCGCTGCCTTCGGCTCAGGTCATGATCTCAGGGTCCTGGGATCGAGTCCCGCATCGGGCTCTCTGCTCGGCAGGGAGCCTGCTTCCCTCTCTCTCTCTCTCTGCCTCTCTCTCTGCCTGCTTCTCTGTCTACTTGTGATCTCTCTCTGTCAAATAAATAATAAAATAATAAAATCTTTAAAAAAAAAATCAGTCAATCAACGGACACAGACTGAACTTTCCCAACAAGTCCCTGAGCCTCTCTGCTGAGTCAGATGGGAATGATACTTGAGACTTGACATCGCTCAGTGTTTACTGGGTTTCAGAGGCTGGCCTTGCTAGGAGCGATGGAAGCTGTTGAGGCAGGTAGGGTGGCTGTTTCGAAGACAAAATCTGAGACTCAGAAAGGGGTAAGGGACTTGCCCAAGGTCATACAGGAGGGTGGGGAGAGAGGAGGGATTGGAGCCCAGATTGTCCTGCCCAAGCCAAGCTCCCCGCTGCACCCAGCTCCTCCCACCTCTGGTGCCAATCCCCTCCTGAGCCTTCTCTGCTACCCCGCCTCTGTTCTCTGTGCTCCAGCCAGCTGGGCTCTTTCCCAGGCCTTGCACTTTCTGACCTCTGGCCCTCTGCTCTTGCCTTTCCAGCCACCAGGAATGCCATCCTTCCTGACCTTGACTATTGAAATCTTAATGTAGCTACCCATTGGAGCTATATGCAGCCCTTAAGAATGATGTTATGGGAGGGTGCCTGTGTCTCAGTGGGTTAAGCCTCTGCCTTTGGCTCGGGTCGTGATCCCAGGGTCCTGGGATCGAGCCCCGCATCGGGCTCTCTGCTCCTCGGGAGGCCTGCCTCCGCCTCTCTCTCTGCCTGCCTCTCTGCCTGCTTGTGATCTCTGTCTGTCAAATAAATAAATAAATAAATAAATAAATAAATAAAAGAATGATGTTATGGGAATGACTGATGGAACAAAGTTCAAAATATATTAAGTTGCAAAACAAACTATGAAACAAATTCATATATAATTATAATCACATTTTTATTTTATTTTTTAAAAGATTTTATTTATTTGACAGAGATCACAAGTAGGCAGAGAGGCAGGCAGAGAGAGAGAGGAAGCAGGCTCCCCGCGGAGCAGAGAGCCCGATGTGGGGCTCGATCCCAGGACCCCGGGATCACGACCCAAGCCGAAGGCAGAGGCTTTAACCCACTGAGCCACCTAGGCGCCCCTATAATCACATTTTTAAAGTGTGTATATATAAATCTGCCTGGCCAGCTCCATCCCAGGGGGCTACCGGTAGGCCCCACAGTCTTCAGCTAGGGTCATGCCAGAGATGGGCCTTACACAGAGTGCCATCTGCTTTATCTTACCCCGATCATCTGTACCAGAAGCTCCAAGCTCCAAGAAACCTTTGGATTGCCCATGTCCCAAATACTTAAACCCAGATTCAAGCACGCAGAAGAGAAAACGAGTCTTTAAGAATTTTTTGTGACAACATTGCCAGTTTCCATTTAGAAAGCTGAATATAGGGGCACCTGGGTGGCTCAGTCATTGGGCATCTGCCTTTGGCATCGGTCCTGGTTCCAGGGTCCTGGGATCGAGCCCCAGCATCGGGCTCCCTGCTCTGTGGGAAGCCTGCTTCTCCCTTTCCCACTCCCCCTGCTTGTGTTCCCTCTCTCTCTGTGTCTCTCTCTCTCAAACAAGTAAATGGAATCTTAAAAAAAAAGAGATTAGTTAAAAAAAAAGAAAGCTGAATATATTTTCTGGAGTTGAACTTTCACCATGAAAAATGCTCATTGTTTTAATTTCTGCAATTAATTTCTCTGCTAACCAAAAGGTGTTTTTGTTTTTTGTCTTTGTGTTTATTTTAAGAATCATGCATGCCCACTCTAGGAAATTTGAAAAATTTTTTAGGAATAGAAGAAAGGGGGCCACTTCTGTGGCTCAGTGTGGGTGAGCATCTGCTTTCAGCTCAGGTCATGATCTCAGAGTCCTGGGATCGAGCCCCACGTCAGACTCCCTGCTCAGTGGAGAACCTCCTTCTCCCTCTGCCTGCTTCTCCCCCTGCTTGTGCGTGCTCTCTCTCTCTCACTCTCGCTCTATCTCAAATAAATAAATAAAATCTAAAAAAAAATAATCGAAGAAAGGTCTCTAGGGAGATATACATTGTAAAAATTTGGTATCTTTCCTGGTGACCTTTTTTTCTTTCTTTTTCTGTGCACGGAATTATTTTGTTTAGTTTTCATTGTTGCTGAGCAAATAGAATGATGGTTTCTGATTCATAATTTACAAAGCTGATTTCATGTATTTATAACAAGCCTGTGATGCTTCCAGAGGCTCTGCCCCCTCTGGGAATTGTGGGGGTGGGACTTGTTGCTCTTCCCTGTGTTCTCCTGACACTTTGACAGCGCTAGTTTCACTGTGTCACTACTAGCACTAAGCAGTATGCTTTTAAACTTAAAAGAGTTCATCTCGAGTGTCTCAATTGTCCTTCTAGAACCTAACTCTTGCCTTCTTTTCTTTTTTAAGTCCCAGAGCTCTGGACGTGTGCCCTTCTCGATGAATTCTCAGTAATCGGTTTGTTTTGTTTTCTCTAAGCTCATGCATACTTCAAGTCTTGGGAACCAGAATGTTTTGTCTGTTCAGGCTCAAAGTGATCAGTGGGACAGGAACCAAAGTTAAGTGCCTCATGATGTGTCAAGATGAACTTAGGAAAATGGTGAGCTGTTGACCGGACTACTTCTGAAAATCTGTTGGTACTTCTTTTCGTCTCTGGTTTTAAAAGCTCCCCAGAGGCAACCTGAAACCCAGACTCTTTCTTCTCAGAATAGGATGGGGGAAATTCCAAAGTTCTCATTAAACACATTTATCCCTCAAGGTTTGGAAGGAGCCCAAATGCCAAAAGTGAGAATCCCAAAGCACTGTCCACATTAGTGTGAGCTCCTGATAAATGTCTAACAAATTCAGCATGTGTCCTCTGGGCTTGAAGAGTTGCTGGGCGAAGTTCCAGAATAGTGAGACGTCTTGGGATTTATCCGGTTTAGGAAAGACCTTTAATTACCAGCTGTCACCTCACTGTTCTTCAAATAGTCAAGTCTTGAGGTCTTTTCACTGTGGGCCAAACTGATGGAGGGCCCCCACCAGTGTGAAGCAGAAGGATGACCTTGTCCCATAGGCAAGACAACTGTGAAGGGAGCTGTGTGTGTCCAAGTCTGCGAGAAGAGAGAGCCACCTAGAATGTCCCCGCCAAACCAGTCCCTGGAAGGCCTTCTCCAGGAGGCCTCCAATAGATCCCTGAATGCTACGGAAACCCCAGAGGCTTGGGGTCCAGGGACACTCCGGGCCCTCAAGATCTCCCTTGCTCTGCTCCTTTCCATCATCACAGTGGCCACAGCCCTCTCCAACGCCTTTGTTCTTACCACCATCTTCCTCACCAGGAAGCTCCATACCCCAGCCAACTATCTCATCGGCTCCCTGGCCATGACTGACCTCTTAGTCTCCATCTTGGTCATGCCCATCAGCATCGCCTATACCACCACTCGCACCTGGAGTTTTGGCCAAATCCTGTGTGACATCTGGCTGTCTTCCGACATCACGTGCTGCACGGCCTCCATCCTGCATCTCTGTGTCATTGCTCTGGACAGGTACTGGGCCATCACGGATGCCCTGGAGTACAGTAAACGCCGCACAGCCGGCCGGGCGGCCGCCATGATCGCCACCGTCTGGGTCATCTCCATCTGCATCTCCATCCCGCCACTCTTCTGGCGGCAGGCCAAAGCTCACGAAGAGATGTCGGACTGCCTGGTGAACACGTCTCAGATCTCCTACACCATCTACTCCACTTGCGGGGCCTTCTACATCCCGTCTGTGCTGCTCATCATCCTCTACGGCCGCATCTACGTGGCCGCCCGGAACCGCATCCTGAACCCGCCTTCGCTCTACGGGAAGCGCTTCACCACTGCCCAACTCATCGCCGGCTCTGCGGGGTCCTCGCTCTGCTCCCTCAGCCCCAGCCTCCACGAGGGGCACACCCACACAGCCGGCTCCGCTCTCTTCTTCAACCATGTGAAAATCAAGCTGGCCGATAGTGTCCTGGAGCGCAAGAGGATCTCCGCGGCTCGAGAAAGGAAAGCCACGAAGACGCTGGGGATCATCCTGGGGGCCTTTATCATCTGCTGGCTACCCTTCTTTGTCGCATCTCTGGTCCTCCCCATCTGCCGGGACTCCTGCTGGCTCCACCCCGCCGTCTTTGACTTCTTCACCTGGCTTGGCTATCTCAACTCCCTCATCAATCCCATAATATACACTGTGTTTAACGAGGAGTTCCGGCAAGCCTTTCAGAAAGTTGTCCATTTCCGGAAAACCTAGTCTTATTTGCGGGTGACTCTTGTGATCTGTTGCATCCTGTAACCCACTGGAATTGTCTTGTTTATTTTTCCTGAGATTTGGGTCCATCCTGATATGTTGGGTTTGGGTTCGACCAATAGAATTGTTCAGCGTTCTTCTTCCTGTTGTCTTCTTGACTTCTGTGCCTCCCAAAGTGGGGCTGTTTTGTGAAGGGTGACAAGACTGAAGATTCCACTTAGCATATTTTCACGGCTCATCCATGTTGGGAGAAATGGGATCCCAAGGATTCCCCGTTGATTGAATTCAGATGAGAAGCTGTCCGACTCTACAGAGAGACCCTAGGTTCAAATGGGAGACTTTCTGGTCTACCTAAGTTTTGTATGGAGCTCAGAGGAGGAGAGTATGTGAGGTTATGACCTGAGCTGAAAGAGAATTGGAGTCAGGGTGGAGAGTTCTCCATACAACAAGGCACCTTGATTAGAAAATAACAGGCAGGGGCACCTGGGTGGCTCAGTGGGTTAAAGCCTCTGCCTTCGGCTCAGGTCATGATCCCAGGGTCCTGGGATCGAGCCCCGCATTGGGCTCTCTGCTCAGCGGGGAGCCTGCCTCCTCCTCTCTCTCTGCCTGTCTCTCTGTCTACTTGTGATCTCTGTCTGTCAAATAAATAAATAAAATCTTAAAAAAAAAAAACAACAGGCAGATCAGCTACCCTCTCCCCTTCCTCCTTCCCCAGGAGTTGCACCGCCTTAATGTTCTGAAGTTAAAACCCACAATCACCCTCAAAGACGTAGATTGACAGGCTTTGGACCCACCAAGCTTTGAGTGGGACACCATTCTGAATTTTGTTTCATGAATTTTTTTGAATTATTTTTTTATATCCTGTTCTCATCAGAGATCTTAAGATGTTGAGTCTTGTCAAATAAAAAGCATGAGATGTCATGGTCAGTGAGGTCTTTGGGTAATTTCCACCCCTCATCTCCAGATGAAACTTTCAATCCACTTCAGTCTCCACCATTTACTGTGCACCCACCAGGGGCCTGGCCCTGTACCAGTGTACTGGCATCTCCTCTCTCACTGGAGCCTCATCATAACAATGAAAGCCAGTCTCATGATGGTTAAAGCTGAGCACCTGATGCCTAAGTTCAAATTCAATTACTACCAAATTCTAGCTGGGTGGCCTGGGGCAAGTTTTTGAAGACCTCCTTGCCTCACCCTCTTCAGCTGTAAAATGGGGATAATAATAGGTATGTTATTGTATAAAAGCAATACAATGCTTTGTATTGCCCCGCAATGTTTGTGGGGTGCCTACAATGTTCCTTGTGCACATTTTGTTGTTGGCTCTTTATCCCCAATTTACAGATGCAGTAGAGAAATGTTCCTATTGTTAGGGAAGATTTCATAAAGAGGGGACAGCTCACCAAGAGCTGAGCCTTTGTGGCATGGGGAGCTGAGGAAGGGGAGATGAGATGGGATGAGTCCTCTTGGGGGAGATGGAGCAGAGCCGAGGAAGGTAGGCAAGATCACACCAGGTGGAAGAAAGCAGGCACAGAGACGGGGAGGTCTGTAATGCTCAGTGGGGGCGTCTCTGGGCACAGAGAGAAGAATGAGAGCCCAGAATATGGGATATCAGGAAGGGAGGGAAAAGCGGGATACCAAAATGGGGAGTGGGCAGGGGCCCACAGAGGGGTCTTGTGTTGACCTTGAGGTTCCTGCTGGACATTTCACAGAGTGCTCTCGGGACCATCTGCTTTAGATCCAGCAAGCTTGTTAACATTGGATTTCTGGTCCCCGCCTCAGATCCATTAAATCAGATCTCCGACAGTGAGGCCCAGGAATCTGCATTTTTAAAAAGAGTTTATTTATTTGACAGGCAGAGATCCCAAGTAGGCAGGGAGGCAGGCGGGGGGCGGGATGGGGGGGAAGCAGGCTCCCTGCTGAGCAGAGAGCCTGATGCGGGGCTTGATCCCAGGACCCTGAGATCATGACCTGAGCCGAAGGCAGAGGCTTTAATCCACTGAGCCACCCAGGTGCCCCATGGAATCTGCATTTTAAATAAGCCTCCCTCTGACTTCTTGCAGTAGATTATTTCTATCTCTCTAATGTTTGGGAACCTCCATGTTAGTGTCTTGCTCCCCCTGTGAGGTCCTTCCCTGAGCCCAGAGACACCTCTCAGCATGCTCATTGCTCTCCCCTCCACCTGGCATGCCCTTTCCTACCTTCCTACTTGTGCTCTCTTTTCCATCTCCTCCATCTTAATTTGGGCCATCTTCCTGATCTGGGAAACATTAGGAATTCAGAGACAGGACAGGAAAGTGTTGCTCAGTGATTAGCTCAGGGAACACAGGCGTTGAAGTCAGAAATAGCCAGAGTTGAATCCTAGTTCTGCCATTTATCAGCTGTGTGACGTAGGGCAAGTCCCCTGTCCTCTTTGTGCTCCAATTTCTTTATCTGTTAAATGGGGTTGTCAGTATCTAAGCCATAGGGTTTTATAGGGATTTAACGAGGTGGTAATTATAAAATGCTTTTTGCGGTGTCTGCCACATAAGTGCTCAGTAAAATATCATCTGTAACTGTTTGAGAGCTTTGAGCCAATTACAAAGGGAGCTCAAAAGTCACCTCCTCAGAGGCCTTCCTTGACCATCTAGAACAAAAGTCGATAAACCTTCTAAAAGACGCCTTTATAGGGATGCCTGAGTGGCTCAGTCAGTTCAACCTCTGCCTTCACCTCAAGTCGTGATCCCACAGTTCTGGGATTGAGCCCTGCATCAGGCTCCTTGCTCAGCAGGGAGCCTGCTTTTCCCTCTGCCTGCTGCTCCCCCTGTTTGTGCTCTCTCTCTCTCTCTGACAAATAAATAAGTAAAATCTTTAAAAAGAAAACATGGCTTTATTGGGACATAAGTCATACACCAAATAATTAACCCACTGAAAGTATACAATTCAGTGCCTTTTAGTATAACCATCACCACAGAGTTGTAAACCATCACCACAATGAATTCATCACCCCAAAAGAAACCCTACACCCTTAGCCAACACTCACCAGCCTCGCTGACCCTAGGCATCACAGATCTATTGTCTGTCTCTATAGACTGCCTATTGCAGACATGTCACACAAACGGAATCAAACAATCTACTCTTGTGGCTGGCTTCTTTCATTTAGCATAATGTTTTCACAGCTCATCCATATGATTTATTTTAGATTGTATTTATTTATTTGAGAGAGAGCACTAACCAGGGAGGTAGTCAAGCAGAGGGAGAAGCAGACTCCGCACTGATCAGGGAGCCTGACGCAGGGCTCAATCCCAGGACCCTGGGATCATGACCTGAGTTGCAGGCAGACACTTAGCTGACTGAGCTGCCCAGGTGCCCCCACAGCTCAACCGTATTAGAGAATGTACACTATTACATTTCTTTCTATTACCTGCTAATATTCGGTTGTATGTCTAGACCCCATTTTACTTATTCACTCATCCATCGATGGACATAGTCCAGTTTTCCCCCATTATAAATAATGCTGCTGTGAACATTGTACAAACTTCTGTATGGACACATGTTTTTATTTGTGTTGGGCACACACCCAGGGATGGGATTGCTGGGTCATACAGTAACTCTATGTTTACCCTCTGTGGAACTGCCAGATTGTTCTCCAAAACGGCTGCTCCATTTTGCGTTCCGATTAGCAGTGCATGAGGGCTCCAATGGGTTTACATCCTCATTGGTTTTTGATGATGTTCCTCATTTGTTTTTGATTATAGCCATTCTAGTGGGTGTGAAGTGGTATCTCATTGGGAAGGCAGACTGTTTTTTAAGGGCTGGATAGTATTTTCATCTTTGTAGATTCTATCATTTCTGTTATGATTATTCATCTCTGCCATTGTGGCACAAAAGCAACCATAGACAATATGTAAATAAATGAGCTTGGCTCTATTCCAATAAAATTTTATTTACTAGAATAGGTGCCAGCTTGGGTGGCTCAGTCGATTGGGCATCTGCCTTCTGCTCGGGTCATTATGCCAGGGTTCTGGGATCAAGCCCCCATGGGGGGGCTCTCTGCTTGGTGGAGAGACCGCTTCTCCCTCTCCCTCTGCTGCTTCCCCTGCTTGTGCTCTCTCTCTGCTGTCTCTCCTCTGTCAAATAAATAAAAAATAAAAATCTTCAAAAAATAATAATTAAAAAAAAAAAGCAAATACCTCTCCCCGTATCTACCTAGTCATTCTCTATCCCCTTTTCTGGCTTTATTTTATTTTATTTTATTTTTTACTGTACTTATTACTGATGATGATATGTATGTGTTAGTTTTGCTTCTTGTCTGTCTGCCACCTCTAGAGTGTCAGCTTGTTCAGGGCAGAGATCTTACTTGTCCTGTTCACTGTTCAATACCCAGTACACCTGTATTATGTATTATAGTACATAATACATAATAAATATTTGAATGAATGAAGGTATGAATTAATGGAACACCATTTCCAGGTTTACAAATGATTTCTCAAAAACTTCACCTTTAAAATTTTAAGACAGGTGACAGGCCCTGGAGCTGGAACCTCTCAGATCGTGAGATCTGTTGTCAGACTAGATCTAGGTCAGAGTGTAGCTGATGCAAAGGTGAGTGAAGAGGCTGGGTGACCTCCGTGTCTCCAAGGAGCCAAGGCTGGGGCTGACCTCTTAGCCTGCACTCAGCCCCGCCCTTCAGTCCTTTTGTTCAGATGACCCCCTCCTCCCTAGTCTCCACACACTGACAGTCAAAGACAGCTTAGGAGAGAGATCAGCTGTTTTCTGATCTTTGTTATTACCTGAAAGCGGCCCTCTGGGGTATCATTACTGCACAGTAATTAGGCCACATGAAGGTCAAATTAAAAATAAACTTGTTTCCCATGATCACAGAGGAAGCCTGTATTTGAGGCCTTTCTCCTCCACGCCCCACTCCCCCAACATCCTTGTCATGCTCCTAATTCCTTCCCACTTAGTCACAAACACACGGCATGATACTGGTGATGGTGGGGGAGAGTGGAGCCTTGGCCAGGAGGGGACTCTGCTCATTTCTGATTGGAGCAACCTGGGCACCCTGGCGGACAGGGCAGGGTGCCCACCTAACACCTAGTCCCGCTTCCTTGCCCACAGAACCCCAGATCAGCTCCAATGGCAATGTG